CTACCTCCCTTTGCTTCCAATTTTTTTTCATTGATTCCTTTGATATTCTTGACCATTTCTTCCTTCAGATGAATTCTGTTATGATACTTTTTAGCTCTATAAAGTAATTCTTTGATAGTTTGATTGATATAGCACTCAATATGTAAACTAATTTAGGTAATATTATCATATTTATTATATTGACTAGTTCCATCCATGAGCAATTAATATTTACCCATTTGTTAGACTTGTCTTTATTTGTGTGAAGTGTTTTATAATTGTCTTCATATAGTCCCTGTGTATGTCTTTGCAGATAAGATTCCCAAGTATTTTATACTGTCTGTAGTTATTTTAAGTGGAATTTCTCTATCTCTTCCTGCTGGATTTTGTTGGTAATATGAAGAAATGCTAATGATTTGTGTGAGTTTATTTTATATCCTACAACTTTGCTTAAGTTCATTGCTTCAATTAGTTTTTTAGTTAACTTTACAGGGTTCTTCTAAGTAAACCACCATATCATTTGCAAAGAGCTCCTGATTTACAATCATGATATTCTCTTCTCTCATATTTAGCCTTCTTTTTGACCCTGTCCTCTCTAAAAGAGTCCCTTTTGCTTCTGACCACTACTTCCCTTAATCTGCCTTTTCTTTTATTATCCTCCTCCTCGCCACCAATTTCTCTTAACCTCTTTCCCTCCTACTTCCCTATTAGATATGATGAATTTATGTACCCAATTATGTGTGTATGTTTATTCTTCCTGCCTTGAACAAAATTAGATGAGAGTGAAGTTCAAGTGGGCTCCCTCCAACTACTGCAACGATTATATACGATCTTCCTTATGTACCCCATTTATGAGTTAATTTTGCCCATTCTTCCTCTTCCTATTTCCCTCTCTCAATACATTCTTGATCCCCATCCTTCCATTCATCTTTTGAGATTATCCAAATATAGTAGAATCATATCCATACTCTCTGTTTTAATAAGCTGCCTCTAAGAACTCTGGCTGTGATAAAGTTCTGAGGGGTTACATGTATCTTCTCCTATGTTAGAATGTAAAGTTCAAGTTTGTTTAGTTCCTTATGGTTTTTCTCTCATGTTTACCCTTTTATGTTTCCCTAGAGTTTTGTGTTGGAATGTCAAATTTTGTATTCAGCATTGATCTTTTCATCAGGAATGTGTGAAAGTCTCCCATTTCATTAAATATCAATTTCTCCCCCTTTAGGATATACTCAGTTTTGCTAGGTAGGTTATTCTTGGATATAATCCTAGATCCTTTGCATTCTGGGATATCTCAGTACTAGCTCTTTGTTCCTTGAAAGTGGTAGCCACTAATTCTTGTGTGATCTTGACTGTGGTTCCGTAGTATTTGAATTCTTTCTTTCTTGCTGCTTGCAGTATTTTCTCCTGGACCAGGCAGTTCTGGATTTTAGCTGTTATATTCCAGGGAGGTTTCATTTCAGGAGGTAACCAGCAAATTCTTCCAATTTCTACTTTGCCCACTGGTTCTCAGATATCTGGGCCCTTTTCCTTTATAATTTCTTCAAATATGGCATCTAGGTTCATGGCTTTCAGTTAGTCCAATGACTCTTTTTTTTAATTATTTTTTGGAGGCAGAGTTAAGTGACCTGCTCAGGGTCACACAAGTAGTAAGTGTCTGAGGCCAGATTTGAACTATGGTCCTCCTGCCTTTAGGGCCAGTGCTCTACCCACTGAACCATCTAGCTGCCCTTAGTCTAGTGATTCTTAAATGATTTCTTCTAGATCTATTTTCTAGGTCAGTTGTTTTTCCTATGATATATTTCACATTTTCTTCCATTTTTAAAGTCATTTGACTTTTTATTATTTCTTGACATCTCACAAAATTATTAACTTCCATTTAGCCAATTCTCCTTTTTAAGGAGCTATTTTCTTCAGTGATATATTTGCCTCTTTTGCCATGCTGTTAATTCTATTTTCATAATTTTATTGCATAGCTCTCATTTTTCTCCCTCGTTTAGCTCTGTAGCTCTTCTAAGAATTCTTGTTGGGCTTATGTCCAATTTGCCTGTTTTCAGCTTCCCTATCATCATAATAGCTCTTTATGGTCTTTATGTTTCCTCATTCTTCCAGTCTACTTTTTGACTTTGGACTTCACGTTAATTTTGGAATTTGATCATCCACAGGGGTATTGTCTGACTTGAGCTTCTAACTTTTATGTCCTTCTCTCGTTTTCATAGCTCAATCTGGGGGCCCTGTAAGTTTTTTAGTGTTTCCAAGGTGGCATGATATGGGGAGATAACTTGTTCACTCACTCCTGGTATGAGCTCTGCATGTTCTTGACCCAGGTTTGGGTCTGTTGGATTGTATGAGGCTGAGTTTCAGTAGACTACTACTGTTCTCAGTTAGTATTAAGCTGCTGGGAGGTTCTGAAGGTTCAGAACGAATTGCTTGACTTCAATTTGGTATTGGTTTCCTGCCCTGGTTATTCATCTGCAGTCTTATGTGTGGAGCTAAAGGTTAGAACCAAGTAGCCCCTCTGCTCCTGGGCTCAGAGCCACAAGTTTTTGGAACTTGTCTCATGATCTGTCCCATGATCTAGGGCTTCTCTTGTTTGTGACTG